ATCTATAAAGGCATGAGTTTACCCTTCCTTAGTCAACTGATCATGAGGTACTCCCCATGAAGCCATAAGTGCAGACTAAGAGAGGGCAGGTAATGCAACAGGAGTGGAGATCAGGGGCATTTGGGCCATTTCCTCATGCAACTTACTTGAGCCTTCAGGTCCTGCTCAGGCCCTGTATCATATATACCACTTCCATTTAATGATGGAGTGCTGCTGTATACATGCAAATTTATGGCTCTGTGGGTCAGACAACATCCAGTTCATGATGGGCAGCTCAGGCCACATGGTGATTTGGTGGCCCATGGTTAAGTATTCAGTCTCTACTAAGGCCCAGTAATTAGCTAAAAATTGTTTCTCAAAAGGAGAGTTATCTGTGGAGGAAGGCAAGACTTCTAAGGATCTGCACTGTGACTGACAAATAGGAGTTTGCCAATGATCCCAAATAGCATATCTATTTGCAACTGACACTTCAAACACCATTGGATCAGCCGGATCATATGGCCCAAGTGGCAGAGCAGCTTGCACATCAGCCCGAACTTGTTGCAAGGCCTTCTTTTCTTCTGGGCCTCACTCAAAACTAACAGCTTTTCAAGTCATTTGATAAATAGGCTGGAGTAGCACACCTAAATGAGGGATATGTTGCCTCCAAAATATGAAGAGGCCTACCAGGTGTTGTGCCTCCTTTTTAGTTGTAGGAGGGGCCAGATACATCAACTTATCCTTGACTTTACAAGGAATATCTTGACATGCCCCACACCACTGGAGCCCTAGAAAGTTCACTGAGGTGGAGGCACCTGAATTTTTGTCAGAATAATCCCCACACTCTAGCATGCAAATGTCTTACCAATAACTCTAGAGTCATTAATACTTCTTTCTTACTAGGTCCAATCAGCATAATGTCATCAATGTAATGGACCAGTGTGATGTCTTGTGGAAGGGAAAGGTGATCAAGGTCCCTGTGGACTAAATTATGACACAGGGCTGGAGAGTTGATATACCCCTGAGATAAAATGGTGAAGGTGTATTGCTGGCCTTGCTAGCTGAAGGCAGGCTGCTTCTGGTGGTCCTTTGAAACAAGGATGGAGAAAAAGGCATTGGTCAGATTAATGGCTGTATACTCCAGGAGATGTATTAATTTGCAGGCCACATCCCCAAGGAAACTCCTCTTCCAACTGATTGGCTGCTTACATCAGATCACAAAATGGAAGATAATTACATAATGTCTGCCAAACCCCTGAGAATCATGGCCTACCCAAGTTGACACATAACATTAACCATCACAGTAGTGATGAAAATGTTCTGAAGTAGATACTGGTGTTGGTGAATAGGATTGTAAAAGTACATAAAGTCACTATATTACACACTTCAAAGCTATTAAAACAAATTTTTATTTAATGAGAAATCTACCAGTTAAAATAGTATAAACTATAAAGTATAAATTGAGCTTGAAAAATACTACAACAAAACCAAAAAAATACCCACTCAGGTGAGGAGAAGAAAGGGTCTGGTTCTAGAGCCAACATTCCCTGGTTGTGAATAAGAAGCCGCTATGGAGGAGGTTCTGCAACCGGCTCTGCCTCTGGTGCCCGAGGCAGAGCTGGAGATGGAAGATTTAATGATCTATGAGGCACCAGTGTTGGAGCAGGAGCAGGAGCAGGAGCAAGATCGATATCAGCTCTTCATCTGGTTGCCGGTTGCAGGGGGCCCAGGAGATGGAAATCCACCTCTCCAGCTGGCCCTTCATCTGGTGCTGGTGATGAAGCTACAGAAGGAAGACTTGTGACTCCAAAAAGCTCCAGTGTTCGTGCAGGATCAGGATGGACAACTGCCGGTGGTACGGAAGCCAGTTCTGGAGGTGGACCAGGATAAGAATCTGACCCTCTAGCTGGCTCTTCGTCTAGTGCCACTGCTGGAACTGGTGGAATAGCTGGTGCTCTAAGGAGCTCTGGAGTTGGTGCAGGAGCAGGATCAACATCAGCAGGTGGTCCAGGAGCCAGTTCTGGATATAGCCCAAGATAAGAATCTGACCTTCCAGTCAGCTCTCCATCTGGTGCCAATGCTGGAGCTGGTGATGGAATACCTGGTACTCTATAAAGCTCTGGTTTGGAAGCAGGAGCAGAATCGACATCAGTTGGTGGTACAGGAGCCAATTCTGGATGTAACCCAGGATAAGAATCTGACCCTCCATCTGGCTCTCCAACTGGTGCCAGTGCTGGAGCTGATGATGGTGTGCTATCGAGCTCCAGTGTTAGTCCAGGAGCATGATCGACCTCACCAGGTGGTCCAGGACCTGGTTATAGTGTTGGCCCAGGAAGAGAATCCGATCTTCCAGCAGGCTCTCTCTCAGGTGCCATTGCTCGACTTGGTGATGGAGGACCTGTTGTATCCAGCTCCAATGTTGCTGCAAGAGCAGGATCTGACTCAGGAAGTGGTCCCAGAGTCTGTTCTGAAAGTTGCCCAAGATAAAATTCCAGCTCTCCTGCAGGATCTCCATCTGGTGCCAGTGCTGGAGCTGGTGATGGGATACGTGGTACTCTATTGAGCTTTGGTGTTGGTGCAGGACCAGGACCGACATCACCAGATGGTCCAGCAGCCAGTTCTGGAAGTGGTCCAGGTTAAGTATCTGACTCTCCAGCTGGCTCTTCTGATGCCAGTGCAGGAGCTGTTGATGGAATAGCTGGTGCTCTATGGAGCTCTGGTGTTGGAGCAGGAGCAGGATCAACATCAGCCAGTGGTCCGGGAGCCGGTTCTGGAGGTGACCCAGGTTGGGAATCCACCCCTCCAGCATGCTCTCCAACTGGTGCCGGTGCTGGAGCTGGTGATGTAATAGGTGGTGTGCTATGGAGCTCCAGTGCTGGTGCAGGAGCAGAATGTACCCCGTGAGATGTTCCAGGAGCCAGTTCTTGGGGCAAAGATATATCTTGAGCTACTTTTACAACTGGCACTGGCCGCGGCTCTGGACTGCAAGAGGAGAAACATTCACCAACATGGCTTCCTTTCCAATGATGGAAAACATCCCATTGCCATGAAGAGAAACCCATTCCCAAGATTTCAACCCCAGGGAGTCTTCCTGGACTGTGGTCTACCAGAGGAGTCTGAGGTTACTCTGAGCTCTGGCTCAACCTCAGCCTCTGGAAGTCTTCCTATGTCCTCCTCACAAGCTCACATGCAGGCATGCCCAGTCCGCCTCACCCTCTGGCTCTGCCTCAATGACCTCCATTTGATCTAGGTGGGCCGAGAGAAACTGGGCATGGCTCTCCACATGTTAGCCAGGCATGTTCACATGCATGTACTCCACCAGGAGCTTTAGGTAGGGGAAGTACGAGGGCTGATCCAAATCCTGCGAGTATTCATCCAGCCATGTGTCCAGTATAAAAGAGATGGCACTGGGGGTGGGTGGTGAAGAGCAGGGTCAGAGGCCTGGCTTTTCCCATCACACTGCTCTCCTGGGGTAACCTTGCAAGGGGCTGGGTCCCTCTGTCTGCCCCTGTCCTTCCAAAGGTCAGCATCACCCTGCATCATGCCCTCTGGCTGTCCTGGCAGTGGCAGGCCTGGTCACTGAGCAGGGGTCTAGCACAGAGCCTCAGTCCCAGGGAGCTCCCCATCAATGGTCTGACCAAATCTCCCTCCTTGGTGAGCCTGAATTACATCTCTTTCTGTCCCCTGGCCCTCTTCCTACTGGACAGTAACCCCGCAAGTGTACAGAAGTGTGTCTGCACGTTCACCTCACAGCCTGGCGCATCATAGTGCTCCAGGAACATCTGATGCTCAGTGACACATGGAGTCCATCCCATACCCCAAAATGCCAGGCCCTGGAGCCCTTCCACCTGGAGCATGTACACCAGCATGCTGCCTGGTACTCTGCATGCACGTGAGGGTCTCTTCTTCCATGGACACTGTTCTCTCAAGGGACAGGGGCCCCACATACAGCTGAGCCCCCACGACAGGGGATGGGGATTCGTGAGCAGCTTTCTCCCCTACCTCAACTTCTTGTTTTGGGCCCCAAATAGGGGACGAGGCAAGCTGTGATGTGAGGGGATTGTGGGGGGATGGATTCTCTCAGGGGCCTCTCTGAGCCCCCAGCCTCCCCTCTGCTACCCAGAACACCCAGGCTCTACCCCCACCTCTCTATGACTGCTTTCCTCCTGCAGGGGATGCCCCTAAACTCATTCCTCTAGTGCAATCTAGATGTGTGGGTTCCAGGGCTTGTCCAGCCCCAATTCAGACACAGGCCGCCTACAACCTCCACCCTTCTGTGGAGACAGGAGCTCCTTCTTCTCCACCCAGAGTCCACTCACCCTTTCAGCTGGTCCTGGGGTCTGCCGGCCCTGGCAGAATAGGGGAAGTTACATCCATACCTAGAGAAGGTGTGAGGGTGTCACATCTAATGCACTGTGGACACTACCTGCTTTTGATGTCTAGTGTTCCTGTCTGACTCCCCAGCTGGAATGGAGGCCCAGGAGGACAGGGCTTCCTGTCCACTTTGTTCACTGAATGATGCTAAGTGCCTAAAACAGTGTCTGCAACAGTAGGGGTTTCATGGATAATTGGTGAATGAGTGAATGCAATGAACACCTTCCCAGGTATCTGAGTGTCCAGGGCCCCTCTACCAGCCTCCAGGGATCCCTGTTCTTGCTACACTGAGGACAAGGACCCACTAAATGGAATCTCAACTCCCCTTTACAAGTGCGAAATAGGTTTGCTCAAGGGCAAGCAGTCAGTGAGGGGTGAGGCAGACAGCTTCTTCACGGGGGAGAGGAAAATAATAAATGTGAACATCCCAGCCCCTCCAGCAGCCTTTTCTGCAGAGCTGGGCTCCAGGTACATACTTTCTATGGCTTGTCCCATGTTGTCCTGACAGCAATTCTAGCTGATTGGTCCTTAATCAACCTACTCCTCAGGGGAGCAAACTGAGGCTCTGAGTGGTAAAGTGACATCCCCTAGACTCACAACTGGTAGGGGGCAGAGTCCCTGCTTGGCTGTGGAGGGCCGGCGCTCACCTTTGGAACAGCAGGTCTAGGACCTGCTGGGTGGTGGCATAGGTTCTGTAAGTTCCCAGGAAGATTTTGATGTAGGACAAGTCACCCTTTAGGAAGGCTGGCACCAGGTGCTCCGCTGGCACCAACTTCTCTGCTGAGCCTGTCTTGACGGTTCTCACCATGCAGGCCTCATCCAGGTCCTGATCCGACACACAGACACACTGGGGTGGGACAGAGGAAGGATATACCATCAGAGGTGGCCCCATTAGGACCGGGGGGTCAGGGGCCAGAGCTCAGACCAGGAACTCCCCCACCCTCAGTGACCTGTGGCAGGAGGTGGGACACAAGTGCCTCCAGCAGAGAACAGGACTTGGGTTTCAAGGCAGAATTTGAGGTGGGGGATGATTAAAAACATTAGGAACCTGAAGTCATTTTGTTACTAAATAACCATGGTATCTCCCTGTAGGAAGAGCAGTATCCCAGTGAGTCCTAACAAAACACCTCATTCCAGAGATGAGAAAACAGAGGCTTAGGGATGTCCAGCGTCTGCTCGAAGTCACACACTCAGATCCCAGAATCGCCCAATACTAGGGCTCTGTGATGTTCCCTCTGTACTATGTGAGGCCTGCTCTGCTCCTGACTCGGAAGGGAAGGTCTGGTGCAAGCTCACTCCTTTCCCAGCTGGAGACAGTGCACGGAGCAGACACACCTATGAGATCCCCTCTGATCGTGAAGCAAGACACAGATTTTTCTTTCTGTACATTAAAGGTGGTTTAAAGAACCCAAAGCTATGGAGCACCCAGATCCAGCCAAGCGTGAGAGCGGAGATCCTGGGTTGGGAGAAAGACCCCCACAGGACCAAGGATCCAAACAAATGACTCTGAAAGAGTAAATCCGAATGGCCAGTAAAGGACTGAGAGGGGCTTGGCTTCTCAGGGCCAACAAGCACCTCAAATCCACCCTGCAGTTCCACTGGCCACCTGGCAGCAGGTTGGCAAAAATGGAAAAGAACCCCAACACCCAGAACTGGCTCGATGCAGAGAGACAGCTAGCGTCACAAACTGCGTCACGTGACTGGGACAGCTATTTTGGGAAGGAGTCTGGCTCCAGCGATCCTAACTTGAAATGTGCATATCCTTCCCCCCAGCGTGCCACTCCTGGGAGTTTGTCCTGGGTGGGTCAGTGTTTGAGGACACACGTAAGGTTCCTGCAGCCCTGCTAAAAGGGTGGCAGAAGAAATCAGTCCAGGGCCAGCAGCAGTGAGAGGCTCAGTCAATGTGGGACTGGGCATCCCTTCTGGAATGTTCTGCAGCTGAATTAGGAGACAGCTCCCGTTGTGGAGGGGTCACATGATGTGTTCCTCGAGATTGCAGGTAGCAGAAAAAGGTATGTCATAGCCTGAGCCCCACACTTTAGGGTAAAAGAAGGCTTCTAAGCATGAGGATGTGTGAGGCTGGGAGAAGGTGTGGAAGGACAGTCTAGTGGACTGCTGCCTGGAGCCCTGGGGTTGGAACTTAAACACTAAAAGACGAGCAACATGCAAAATGACAACAGGCTGATGTGAAGACAGTATACAAAACTTGTTTCCGATATTCCTACAAATATGGGAAAAGTGACTTTGGAGCTGACCAGGGAGGGGAGGGGAGGGGGGTGGGGAAGAGGGAAGGGTGGTGGCTGATTCCTTTGGGAGGGGACTGGGGGCCCTTGAGAGGGAAAGTCCTGGCAGGGAGCTGGGGGTCTCCAGGGCATTGTCTGGGCCCCTCCGAGCTGCCACCCTTCCTTTCTGCCCATCAAGCCCTTGTACCCCCTGGGCCTCCCAGGATCTCTCAGTTCCCCATGTATACCATGTGCTGGGTGGGTCAGCCTGGGGCTGCACAATCCAGCCCTGGCCAATTCACAGATAGTAAGATCAACCTCTGAGTACTGAAGCAGGATCTAGGAGAAGCTGGGCTGGCACAGGGTCAGCAGTGGCCCAGGCAATGCCAGCAGCTAGGACTCTGTGCTGACTGCCCCACTCAGGGTGAGCTGGATGTCAGAGAAGGCTAGGTGAGAGTGCTTACTCAGCCTGTGACGCCGATAGTCCCTCCCTAAAGCCCTGGTCTGAACTGGGATCCCTGGGTAGACTAAGGTCCCAGAGTTCTCTGTGATCAGGGGGTTGCAGCAGGCACGTGAAGGAGGTCTCCGCCTTTGTTACTACAGCCCCCAATCTCCAAGGCACCCAACCTGATGGACTAGGCCCACCTACCACCCCATTCCAGGTCAGACCCAGTCCCATGAACCCAGTGATAGTGAAGAGCTGTGAGGATGGAGCTTGGGGTTGCCTTCAACATGTGCTAGTCCTAAAGCAGCACCACCATTTTCATCATCCTCATCATCAATTTTCCCCTCCCAAATCTCGCCAGATCACATGGCCCCTCCTTCCCTGACTCCCACCCACCTGTCTCCCAAATGGACCTTGCCTCATCCAACAACTTTCTGCCTCATTAGTTCTGTCCTCATTTCCTTCCTGCCCACATTACCAGGGACCCCATGAGAACAAGGGCTGGCATGGCATGGCCTGGTGGCTGGTATGACCTGGGTTAAGTGTGTGGGGCTGCCCAGGTGGGATGACAGTGGTGGCCTGGATTGGCAGCTCTGGGCCACCCTGTGTTACTTTTGAGGCTTTTTGTTGTTTTTTTTTTTGGTAAATGGCCAGAGCCTTTGGGGGTTGGGGATGAGACCATGTCTCAGTCTTCATGAAAGGGTCGAACTCCTGTATTTCTCAAGCTTCAATACAAGGGAAGACAAGAGACAACAAGAAAACATGTTCCTAGCTCAAGTGTTTCCACTCAGGTGAGCTGGGGAGTGGGATGTCTCTAGAATGTGGGGTCCTGGTTACCAGGGTTCCCAGTTCCATGTACTCTGTTGCCAAGGAAGTGAGGTCATATCCTGGGTCCTCTGACCTGGGCCTGACTTCAGATAAGACCTCCCAAAGTCCCCTCTGGGCTGCGGAATGCTCACCTCTCCCCATGCCATCTCCATAACTGTACACAGTGAAACCACACAGCCCCCCCCCCAACCCCGCAAAACCTGGGGAAGGCCTGGGTGCACCCAGGGCTCCCAGCGTTGAGCAGACAGAGCTGGGTTCAGACACAGCTCATCTCTCTAACCAGTTTTCAACCCTGGACAAGTCTTTGTGCTTCTCAGAGCCTCCTCAGTCCCCCCAACCCACACAGAGGAGATCATTCTAGCATCTTCTTTCTAGGGACATCAGCAGGTACATGTGAGATAACATAGAACCTGTGGACTGGTGTTACATGTAGCTAATCAGGAGCAGATTATCCAATAGACAAGGTAAGCACAGGGCTTACCCGCTTACCAGATCATCTGTAGTGAATATTTTCACATTTTTTTCACCACATCAAAGACTCTGCTTCTAGGTATGGCTGGCATCTGTCCCTCTCCCAACCCCACAGCACCTGCCTAAAAAATCAAAGCCTCTTCAAATTCACAGTCCCTGACGGGGGCAGATGATCCAGTAAGCAAGCTAAGCACAGGTTTACTTGTGTTTACATACTAATCTGTAGTGAAAATTTCACATGGGTTTCACCACATCAAAGATGTGTTCACCGTGCTTACCTTGCCTATGGGATAATCCACCCTTGTAGCTAAAGCACAAACTTAGAGATGGAAGAATTTCAAGCAGGGGTGGGAATCAGTATGGAGTACACCTGCCCACAGTATGGAGTACACCTGCCCACAGTATGGAGTACACTTCCCCTCTTGGCCTAAACACAGTAGCACAATTTACATCTTATCTTTTATAAGTGAAGAAAACAAAAATATTTGATAAACACATACAAGGAAGGAATACTCATAACAATTACAGCCTTCACTTCTGCAACTGGTCACATGGTCTTAACTGATATTTAGAACTACCTTCTTCCACCACCCATTCTCTATTCCCTTTACCCTCAGCAAGCATCTCAACTGGTCATGGTTCTTTGCCTGGTGGGGTGACCCAAACCTTCACTCCTGAAGGGTCTGGGCCATTAGTGGTCATGGCAGAATTGAGTTGCTGTAGCTTTTCATTGACTTCAATCACAGGGCATGACAGGACTAAGAGACAGCCTAAGGGATCTCTTGTATTCCAGACACACTCTTCTTTACCTCCATTATGTAATATCAATCTTATTTCCCCTTGGTAATCTGAATCGATCACACCAGCCACCCTCACCACTGTCCTTCAAGAGGTCCCAGAAAGGGGCTGTAGTGCTGCCACTGTCCACTTTCAAGTGGTGCCTGCATATCATGCAGAACCATCTGTAAACCAGGTACGAGTTTTTTCTTCCTCAGTCAACTGATCATGAGGCACTCCCCATGAGGCCATAGATGAAGACTGGGAGAGGACAGGTACGGTAACAGAAGCAGAGACCAGGGGCATTTGGGCCATTTCCTCATGCAACTTACTTGAGCTTTCATGTCCTGCTCAGGCACAATATGGTATATACCACTTCCATTTAATGATGGAGTGTTGCTGTACACATCCAACTTTATGGCTCCATGGGTCAGACAGCACCCAGTTCATAATGGGCAGATCAGGCTGCACGGTGATTTTGTGGCCCATGGTTAAGCGTTCAGTCTCTACTAAAGCCCAGTAACAAGCTAAATGGTGTTTCTCAAAAGGAGAGCAGTTATGTGTGGTGGATGGCAGGGCTTTGCTCCAAAATCCTAAGGATCTGCACTGTGATTCACCAATAGGAGCCTGCCAAAGACTCCAAACAGCATCTCTGCCACTGACACTTCCAGAATCATTGGATCAGCCGGATCATATGGCCCAAGTGTCACAGTGGCTTGCACATCTGCCTGAACTTGTTGCAAGGCCTTCTCTTGTTCTGGGCCCCACTCAATATTAGCAGCTTTTTGATTCACTTCATAAATAGGCTGAAGTAGAACACTCAAATGAGGGATACGTTGCCTCCAAAATCCAAGAGGCCCAACAGATGTTGTGCCTCCTTTTTTACTTGTAGGAGGGGCCAGATACATCAACTTATCTTTCACTTTACATGGAATATCTTGACATGCCCCACATCACTGGAGCACTAGAAATATCACTGAGGTCAAGGGTGCCTGAATTTTTGTAGAAATAATTCCCATCC